AGAGAAAGGAGATATATATACACACACTTAGATGTGAAATCTTTGTCGTTCTTTTATACCTTTTTTGAAAGTCTGAAGTCATTTCTAAATGAAAATTTCTAAGAAGATAGTGTAAGTTATCGATACACATGAGACATTTAAGTAAATGTGAATGCCTGGGAGGCTGGTGAAGCACACAGGGCCGCAAAGTCATGACCAAATGCCTCGAAGGAATAAGTCGCAGCGTCCTGGGGGCTCAGGGGACACCAAGGTAAACTGGCATAGCATAATCCATCAAGCTAATGTTCTATGGCCCACATTGGTCAAGTAACCACTGGGGACTTAAAAGCTCATGACTGGCCATCTAAGAGGGAACTATTGATGGATCTTCCTCTGTCCAGAGGAAAGAAGAGTGGTGGAAACCAAAAGATACATGGAAGCAATGAGTCCAGTGTTGCGAATGGACCCTGTGGCTGTCGGTCTCCATGGTGCTGAGAGCGGAAGAACTCGATGGTGCCTGGCTACCACGACCAAATGCTCAAAAGGGATCACATTAGAAAGTCAGCCTGAGATATAGCGGGAGAAAAATGCAGAAATAAAGTCAAAATCAGTGCCAAAAAGATCAGACTTCAGGATCAGAGAGACATGGGCGGAAGCCCTGACACGACAGCCCTTCAACCTGCAGGTCTGAAAACGGATGTGCACGCTGGCTCGATTTTCCTCTAGCCAGCAGACAGGTCCACATGAGAAACAAGAACTAGAGGGGTGGACCCACCTTAGAACAGTCAGCCATTTCAGAACAACGGGGCCGTGTTTCCCTAAGGACAGAGTTGGAAAGGGCGAGGAGAGATGGAGGAATGCAGTTAGGAAGCACAGGGAGGCAGTAGGATGAGTGATGATGTTATATTGTGGGGATTGCAATCAGTGACATGAAACAAAAGGTGTATGAACTGTTAAATGCAACTGATCTGATCTGAAGACCTTCACCCAACTGACAAAAGGTTAAAGAAGAAAAACTTTTTAAAAAAAGGTGCGAAGTATAATACTTCTACCCCATTGGTTCCAAAGCACGTCAGAGGATCAAATGGAGCCAGCAGCCTAGGATTCATAATGAAAAATAAATCTTGAACCTCATAGAAGAAATTCTGGGGCCTACAAGCGACATCCCAGGTCTTTCCAATTCCCACTGATGCTGTAGCAGTGATACAAAAACCCTTTTCTTTCCGGTAATGTGAACCATTTCCAGCTTTCTCAGTTTCATTACTGAGAGAATGCAAGCAGGAGTCCCCCAGAAATTGTATTTCCCATGAAAATATTGGCAAGCGCAATAAAAAGAAGAGCTATGTATCCTATTTCCCTAACTACGCCGGCCCTGGCCCACACGCCTTTGGCTGATCCTTCAGCATTCCGACATGAGTGTACCTTCTAGTCCCCAGCCCCCATCCTGCCTTATGGGGGCTTTAGGAGCATATGAATATGCATGTGGATGTGACAATTCAAGGTTTGTGTCATAGAACTTACACATGAGCCAACATGGTGCGTGACTGTTCCTACAAGGAAAAGCACACAGCTCTGAGCATCTGCATTACATTTTAACAGAATTATTGACATGCTTCCCCCACGCAAGGCAGCTAGCAAATGAGAGAACATCACGTGCTTAGGCTTTTAAACCCCCCAAGATGGCAGGAGACAGGTCCCTGGAGAGTCACATGAGAAACAGTAATGGCTATTAAAGTTTTTCTTCTCATCCACAGGATAAATAAAAAGTTGAAAAGAAGTTATATAACTGCCCTTAACCCTATTCTCATGGGTCATGATTAGCATGTTCTCATTTAGAATTTACAGAACGCCTTGTGATCCAGAACTTCAGACCTCTCATTAACCTTCACCGCCTGCCTGGGGTCGAATGAAATTTCCATTTGATAGGCAGAAAATTTAGGGTAAGAGAAAATCAAGATGATCCCTACTCCCAGGCAACCAGGAGACAGGTGGTGCCAACAGGCAAGCTAACTCAAAGGCTGGGGGTTCACAGACGCCCAGCAGCTGTGTAGGAGAAAGCCCTACGGGACACTTCTCCTTTGTCACATGGGGTCACCACGACTCGAAATCAACTCACGAGCATACAGCAGCAGCAGCATTTCAGTTGCCAGAGTCCCTAGAACCAGAGACAGCAAAGGCACCTGGCGGCTAACTGAAAGGGTAGCCGTTGAAAGAGGTCTCCCCAGAGGCACCGCAGAAAACAGGTCTGGCGATCACTTCTTTTTTAAAAAAGCAAAACCAGCGTTTGGAGTTCTTCGCGAGCAGAGCCGTCCCAGGGCAGCATGGGGCCCCAAGGAGGCGACGCTGACTCAATGCTAGGTGATGTCATACCCACGGAGGGAATGCTGCGGTTGCTTTTCTTACACTGAAAACGAGAAGACAAAAATCAAAGGGCTCCCATCCACAAGTAGCCCCTCGGGAGCCCAGCTACACCACAGAAGCTAGTGTCAGATCAGACTCAGAGGGACCATAAGGACGAGGGAGAGCAGCTGAGGAGGCCTCCGTCCAGAGAAGGGCTTCCCCACACCAGCTCTTACAGGGAACACAGAGGTGGGCCCCTGTATGAACCCACCGCAAGGGCTTACATTTCACTACACAGGCCACTGAAATTACATTGCGGAAGCCCTGAAGCAGTGTAGCAGGATGGGCTGTTTAGCTGCAAGGTCGGCAGTTCTATCCCCGCAGCGGCTCTGAGAGAGAACAAGGCTGCTTGCTCCCATCAAGATGCACAGCCTTGGAACCCTCAGTGAGTAGTTCTACTCTGCCCTACAGGGCCGCTAGGAGCCGGGACCAACTCTGCGGCAGTGGGTTTGGATTTGCTGTTTGTTTGCTTTTCATTGCTTAGTGCCCCGTCTCCGAGAGAAGCTTCATATAAAGAATGTTAAGATTGCTTACCTGCATTGAGAGCCAGAGGGAGGGAGCCTACTAGTAACAAGGATGCTAGAAACCCATGTACGTTAAGAATTGAAGGAGCTCAAAGCAAGGCAATGAGGTCAGTTTCTTGTAGCCTTTGCTTGGTCCACCCAAGCATATGTGCCCATCAGGCAGCAAACGTTTGGGGAACTTACTATAACACAGATGTGCACAATAGTAACACTGTCCCTGTCAGTAAACCTGCCCTAGAGTCCCTGGGCAAGGAACTACACTGTAAGATGCGCCAGGCAGCAGCCAACCCGAGAGCAGCTGGAGAGCCTGACAACGGGCCGCTCTCTTGTCTCGAGGGTGCTTAAAGAACTATGGCACCGTCTCCCTTAGTCCGCTGCGTGTCCCTGAGATGGGGGGCCACTTTCCACATGATGGGGTGGCTGAAAGCAAAAGCTCAGAGCTAAGGTCAAACCCCAGGTAAATGGCGGGATACAGAGTTGAAAAAGCACATCTCTCAAAACTCCAGCTGTGCGTTCTTTAAGGTCCATCCAAAATAAAGTCTGAGACACAGAACACCCTAATATTTCATACATAATTTAACTTTTTTAAAGCAGGGAAGGAAATGACAGCCACAGCAGATTGCTTCCCACCCCTCACCCCCATTATCCCTACCCCAAACTGATAAAGGTCCCAAGAGAAAGTACAGGTTGGGTATAGGGAACAGCAGTTTGGTTTGGCTGATGCTTGGAATACAAGAATAGGAACCCTGGTGGCACTGTCTGGTTAGCACTGGACTACTCATGCTAAGATAAGAGGTTCAAACCCACCAGCCACTCCAAAAGAGAAAGATGCACCTATCTGCTCCTATAAAGATCTACCATCTTGGAAACCCTATGGAGGAGGGTCACTAAGCACAGGAATCCACTCCATGGTCACAGGGTGGGTTGGTTGGTTGGTTTGGGTTAGAATATAAAGGAAGACATAGAAAATAAAGATAGAAATAAAATGCCGCTGTGAATTCTGGGGTAAAGAGGCTTGGTCTTTATGTTATTACAAGTAAGACACCTGCTCTTTCCCACCTCATTTTGTTTTTATTTTGTTCATCAGCTGGCCCTCGTGGTGGTTTTCGTTTTAGAGACACCGTTTGAGTACGTAAGTGATGTGATCAGAAAGTTACTCGTAGAGCGGGTTCACAGGCGGAACCAAAAAGAGGGACAGAGACAGAAGAAGGAGAAATTTGCTGCAGGGGGACGAGGAGACCGTTGTGAGCCATGGTGCAGAGGTGGAGACCGTTGTGAGCCATGGTGCAGAGGTGCGGGCAGTGGCTGGGAGAGAGATCGGTGTGCAGAGGCCAGCGACCCTGACGAAGAAGGTTGGGTCCGGGGCGAAGAGGAACCATTCTGCAAGCCTGGCCCAGCAGTGTTGGTCGGCCCTTTCCACAGAGCAGCACAGTTCCTGAGATTAAACAGGGCGAGAAAATCACCCCTCACGGGGAAGGGCAGCGGCACATGAAATTTTGGGCAGAAAAAGTGTAGATGCAAAAGAAGTTGAAATTTTCCCTCTGTGGGTGTGTGCTTTTAGAAGTGCCAGTGGCAAGTCGTAACTCACAGACGCACGTCACTGAAAAGAATCTAAAGCCTCGAGTGGAAAGTTTTTCCAGGTAATCATTAACACAATCCAGTTAACAGAAGGGAGGCCAAGCTAAGGGACGCGGGTCTTTCAGAAGGAGAGAGCCTCCATCCCACAGGCCGTCCAAGACGGCAGTTTTCGTTTTCGATCTTTTGCCATTTCAGACAGTGGTCAGAAACCACTCTGCTTCTGGGATACCCACATGAAAGATATGGCAGGGCAGCTTTTAACTCTCTAGCATTTGAAGCTCCCCCCGGAGCCCCAAACCGTCCTCAAGCCAAACTGATAACTAGGAAATTGAAATCATATAAGGTGCTCGCTGTTGCCGCACCCAAACACATTACAGCAGGCTGAGATAACCAAAGAGCAAAATGCAGGCCGCCCGCCCCGGATGGACCAACCTGATCTTCCTGACTCGGAGGACATCGTTGCCCTCTCTTTCTCTCTGGGTCTCACTTCCTGGGGTGGGGACCGTGGGCAGTACTTACCTTTTTGGCTCTTTGGGCTATGTCTGGGGTTCTCGTGAGCAGCTTCTCAATCAGGTACTCCCTGTTCTGCAAGACAAATAGCCCGACGGGTTAAAATCAAATATCACAACCAGAAAGCTATAGTGATTTCAAAATAGCAGATTTACTTGGGTGTTTTAAGCATGTTACCTTGGCTTTCTGGAAGAATTTGCATTTTAAAAGTTCTGCTGCTGTGGGCCTGAAAGATCAACAATAAATTAGAGTTGAGACAATGACCACTCAATAAGCACACCGCTTGATGAAACAAGTTAACCTAGCGCTATTTCCGGAAGACCGTTTAGGAAGAGCAAAGCGGGGAACTGAATTCATCCTAGGCTGGCACCCATGAAACCAGGCCAAGTTTCCAGTCCGCTCCAAACACCTCCACAGCAAGACATTGAAACTCCGGGACGTGGCATGCTTGGGGCATGGTCAACTTTCCATCCTTCGCCCTTACCCTTTCCTCAGTGAGTTCACTGTTCCTAAAAGGCGGCAGGCTGCCATGTCTCTGAGCTAAATCCCTCTATTGTAGGAATACAGGCTGCAATATGATCCTACCCCAGAAACCACAGCCTAGTAGCACTAAGACTCCCTGGGGGCAGCAGCTACTGCAAGCACCCCACAAACCCGTGTGGACCCGTGTGGCCCTGGGTGTCCGCCCACTCCGGACACTGCCTCAGAGATATACGGGCTACTGTCCTTCTGGTGAAAGCAAACATGGGTTCAGAAACTGCACACGCGCTCACAGGGAAGGACTAAGTCTATTCCTGGTGGCGCTGTCACACTTGTGCTCCCTGTGAACTGAAAGTGAAGTCCAAAGCTTCCAAAGTGGGTGACCGGCCACCCTGCCTCGGGAGGGCGGGAGAAGGGGGCAGGCATTCAAAGGATTCGGGGGGCGGGGGTGTTTCATTGCCAAAGGGACACTGAGGAATTGTTTTTGTTTGTTTGTATCCTTTTTCCTAAAAAGGGGATGGTGCGCTGAGTAAGCTTGGGAAGCTATAGTCCAGAGGCTCTCGAGTAAGCTTACTCAAGCATGTCGGACAAGAAGGCGTCACAGGTGCTGCCCAGCACAGTGGAGGGATGTCATGTGGAGCTAGTCGACTGTCCTTGGTGTTCAGCTTCATCACTTGGTCTGCGGGCCCCACAGCCGCGCTGTGGTAAAAGGTGCCCTCCTCATGACAACCGCCATGTACTCTGTCACGTAACGCTTCAGAGCAACGCATGAAGAACTAGTTGCCAAAAAGACCTTTGCCTTAATGGTTTTGGCATCTTTGCCTAAAATATGCAGGTGTGTCATAGTCATTTGCAAAATACTCATTTTGTACTTGTCATTGCTATGACATTCATCAGCTCAGCACGCTTTCAAAATAGTGTCCTTCGGCAATGAACCCAAACCCATCGCCTTAGTGGCGACTCCCACTCATCACAACCAGGTAGGGCAACAAAACTGCTCTAGAGGATTTCCAAGGCTAAACATCTTTATGGAAACAAGGGTTAGTGCCCCCCAGCCTCCTGCGCCCCCAAGCTTCCTTCAGGTCAATAGTCACAGCCTTTGAGTTGACGCCAACTCATAGCAAACCTCTGTCAACAGATCCCCATAAAAAGTGGCAGTAGAAATCAGCAGATAAAGCTACCGTCTGGGGCAGTCAGCAAGGAAAATGGCTTGATCAGTTCAAAAAGTCAATGTCATGAGGGAACAGGCCAAGGGGGAGGAAAGAGGCCTGGTTTTAGAAGAAAACAGACTTCATAAGTAAACAATCTAGTACAGCAAATGGCCCTTGGTGGAAGCCTGGGTTTGTTGAGAGGGATGTGTGATAAACATAGAGAGACATTTAGCAATAACTAGAAGTGTCCAAATATGCTGGATACAGAAACGAATAGGGAAAATGGTGTGGTTTATTAGGGGGAAATATTCTTTGGGAAGGACTGTCAACCCAGATGCCAAGTGTATTACTTTCAACCCGTTGAATACAACAAAATATAGATAAAGAGATACAGCTAATGTGCCAAAATGCTAATAACTGTTGAATCTAACTGGTGTACACAAGTATATTTGACTATCTACTTTCAACTTATCTATATGTTTCTAATTTTTCATATTCAGAAAAAATTGGGAGGAGGTTGAGAATCATTACTGCATGTACCATGGGGTTTTCTCCCAGGCAATGACGATCAATGGGACAAATATGATGATGCTGGGGGAAGGTGCAAGTTGAATGAAATGACTGCTTTGGAACCAGAAATTCCACCAGTTTGTCCCCAGAGGCCACGCCCAAGCATATGAAAGGATTAGGGAGCTTCTCTAAGTGTGTCAGTGTACAAGTTATGTAAGTCTACAGAGACCATCAACTGTATTTCTAAGCAAAGACTTTTTTCGATTTCCGCTATTATTACTCTTTCCCCCAGATTTCAAGGAGACCCGCTGATCACAAATACTTGACAAAGAACCCCTAATTCTTACAGCCACTGCTATAAATAGCCACTAATTGCTAACTGCTTTCAGTAAATAAACTTCTAAACAACAGGTGGGCCCCATTCTACAATGATTTGGGGCTCTATCTTTTGGTAAGCTCAAGAATTTATAAGTTGCTAAACAGGCCCTAGGACTCGAAACTGATATTACTGTGCCCTAGAAGGTAAAAAAAAGAAATCTACTACATTATCTGATTTAGTTTTAGTGATTGTTGGGGGGTATACTATCATATTTCTGATCAGCGGCCTTTTATTTATTTATTTTTGCCATGAGCTACTCCAGAGGCATTCTTCCGTTTTTCTCAGGAAGGATTTATTGGGCACCTACTGTCTGTCAGGCTTCACTCTGGGTGCTGCTAGTCTTCCAACAGTGAACAGAAATCCCAAAGCCAAACTCACTGCTGACTCATAGCAACCTGATAGGACAGGGTAGAACTGCCCCTGTGAGCTTCAGAGACTGTACCTCTTGAAGTACAAAGTCTTTCTCAGGCTAAGTGGTTGGTGTTTTTGAACTGCTGACTTGCAGTTAACACCCCAACGTGTGTGTGCCACCAGGGCTTTCTTCAATAGTGAATGTGACACCCATACCTACCCCTTCTCCTGACTTACAACAAGCAGGCAGTCGGGGCACTGTGGGGCCTAAGAGGCATACTTGAGCATTCCGAGACGGGAAGAGCTATTGAAAGAGGGCACAGAGGAGCCATTAAAGACTGGACTGGCCCTGGTGGAGATCGCTGGGGAAGTGGGGCTGAGGGTAGGGCTCGCATAGACATGAGTCAGGCCCTGACTGCTTTGGGGAGGCCCGTGGACCAATCTCCTCTGTCTACCACCACATCCCTGGCCCCGCTCAGGTTAACCCCACCTGTGACCCTGATGTTTTCACTTGCCGCCTATCACGCGTGTGTGACAGTTGTCCTTGACCTCCGGTGCCCCTCTGTAAAGCTCTGTGCACATCAGCAAACCTTTGAATCCCAGGCTGGCCCCCTGCCAAGGGTCTCCCCTATCTGGAGAGCATGTCTGTGTCCTCCCCTGGTCCTGCTTAAGACGCTAATGAAGGTTCTCTTAAAAACAGAAGTTTCTTCAGAAAATTTAACTTGGCTGGGAAAAAAAGACTGGGCTGAATAAGGTCTAGTGTTGGGTTTGCTCGCCTTACCACACAGAGCAAAAATTGAATATAAAACTGAAGAGAATACAAAGGAACGCGAATTTCGGTTTCCTATTAAGTGACAGGAAAACCAAGGCGGCTGAGGGATCCACAGACCACTGGACAGGGTGGAGCCCTCCCGGCCCCCGGTCCACACAGTTACAGCAGCCTCCCCGCTGGCCTCCGTCCCGCAGACCCGGTCCCCATCCCACGCCATCCTCCCAGCAGCCGACCCCGTGAGTGGCTTACAACAAAGACAATAGCCAGGGCTGCCGTAGCTTGAGATGAAAGTCAAAACTCTGTAGCACTGCACAAGCCCGAGCACATAACCCCTCCAGGCCCCTCTTCCATCACACCCTGCGTGACGCCTGTCTCCAGCCACCCTGGCCTTGCTCTCACCATCACTTGCTCATCCACGACAGATGCACACCCCTCTTTGTGTGCTGCGGGTGCCCCCCCCAACCCCGCCAGCCACCAGGCACACCCTTGCCCATCAGTCGAGAGAGCCCACTGAAATGCCATCCAACACTGGCACATCCCTCCTCAGCCAGGTTCACTTACCGCTGCCTGCACCAGGTCCACAGCCCCATCTACCTGCCATCCCCTGTCCCTCCGTCACCGACCACTCCACCACACTAGGTCACAGGCCCTGCCAGGCCGGCACCATACACGACTCTGTTTCATCTTCCCAATGCCTAGCACAGCACGGGAAAAAATAAAGAAACTAATCAAGGAGTCCACTGTCACTCCATTTCATGCTGTGATCAAATGGGAGGTAAAATGCATGCTGCCAGGCATCTGGACAGCATCCCCCAGTTCCGGAAGCACAATTCTGTCGGCCCCCAATTCTAAGCATCTGCTCAAGGAATGGGAGAATGAGGCAATGAACGTGAAACTCATGCTGGCATTAAAGGAAGAGGAAAAGGCATGGAAAGGAGAGAAGGCGGTGGGGGAGAGGGGGAGAAAGGGGAGGAAGTCTCTGAAGGGCTGGAGGGCTTAAGTGAGGAGTTCAATGCCTCCTTTCTTCCTGGCACCTCCACCACCACCCCCCTTCTCCCTTCTGCACACAAAGAAGCAAGCGTACCCCCCCCCCTCCCCCAGCCTACCGCTGATGAAGAGAGAAGTCTGGGAAAATGCCAGACATACCTTGAGCTACAGGGCTGGGAAAATACTTTCCCTTCCCCAGCAAGGTCATTTCTATGGTAACCAAAAATGTACAGAGGGACAGGCAATTCCCCTCCAAGCCTTCCACCACAAAGTCCACAGGACTAGGATGAGAGCAGAAAGGAGGGATCGTCTGAAGATGCCCCACTCTTTTGACCCAAATAGCGCAGGCTTGTCCTCTACACAGGATCACTAAACACAGCTTTGGAATCAGATCCTACCCAAGCCAGCTCTATATACAGAAGTATGGGGGCAGAGGTGGGGATGGAGGGGGAAGTGGCAGGGCAGGGAGAGGAGCCTGGGTGGAATTGGAAGGAATGAGGCTAAGGAGGGAGTGGAGAATGTGCTGGAAGTTTTGAGAGAAGCGGAGGTGCATGTTGCCAATCTGATGTTGGGTTTTTGTTTGTGTGTGTTTTCCATCTTGGCTTGGTTTTTACGCCATAGCAACTACCCGGGTGCTGCCAGGGACTGTGAAAAGATCCATGCTGGCCGCCTTCTGGCTGAGTAGACGGGAGAAAGAATTCTGCAAGCAGAGTCAGGTCTTACATGGCCACTAACAAATGCAGAGCCAGTCAATATATTATAAACACAAATCCTGTCTTATAAGCAATGCTAGAATGCTACCGGCAGCCAAAGCCCTGGACTTTGGATGATGACTCCATTTAAAACCGTCAGGAAACCACACAGTGAGGTCAGCAAGTGCATACCAACATTCTCAGAAGAAAGCCCCTCCCAGGGATTCGGTTAATGCATATGGATGAGCTACGGGCCACTGAGAATTCGAATGATTCTCAGAGGATTCGGGATGGACAAGATAACCATTTAAGCAGCTCTAAGAGCGTGCATTACTAAATCCTAAGAGCCCACTGACCTCAAGCAACTCTGCCTTCCTCGCTCCGCCATGTCCCCCAAAAGTAACACTATTCAAGCCCACACTTCTTATGGATTTAACTGAGCAACGCCACCCCTTGTTTCTCAAAAAAAAAAAAATGCTGGTTCTTTTTATAGCGTCCTTCCATGCAAAGCATGTAACCCACAAGATCAAGGATGGCTGATCTGTTTTTTAAAGATGTAGCAAGCTGGTCCCTTATGCAACTATATATAAGAAGTTCTTTGTCTAGGCCTATGCAGAACACACGCTCGGATGAGGCACAGGGCTCCAACACTCCAGATCTCTCTTACTCAGGAAGATCCAGGAGCCCTCCAAGTGAGCCTGCCCTGGTTCCTCTTCCTCAGTGACCTCCTTCACACACTGCTGGAAGGGTCCTCAGCATGCCAGGGGTCCTCGTGCGGCTAACTGCTTTCAGATTCCTCGCAGAGGACGTACATGCAGGCAGCAGTGACAAGTGGGGACCGTCACACCTCTGCCCCTCGTTTCGCAATCTACTGTCACCTGGTTTCTGCTGCTGAAACTTGTCTCAGTGGGTGACAACACCTCCACAGAGCCAAGCTCCCCGTATTCTTCTTGGGGTTTCAATAAACAGTATTGAGGACATAGTACAAACCAGACACTGTGAACAGAACTCCACCACCCCAAAACAAGCAAGCACCTTCAATCTATGATGAAGTTGGGTGTGTAAGTCAATAAAGCCAACAGTGCGATGAGCCCTACAGGAGATGCTCAAAATCCTGCAGGAAAACTGAACGCTGCACTAACTCCACTAGATGAGGAAGGCAGGAGAGGGTGTCTCTAAAAATACACAACGACCTGAATCCCTGAGCCTCTGGGAACTACCAGGCACTGTGCTGTCTGCCTTCCTTGCCCTATCGCAATCCTTCCTAGCAGCAAAGAAGTACGTGGGAGTCGTCTCATTTGACAGAGGAAGAAACTGAGTCCTGCAGATAATAAGTAGAGCTCAGAACCATACCCAGGTGTAGTTAACTCTAAGCAGAGACAAAGGGAGAACAGCCCTTGAGTAAAATAAGCAGAGGCAGAGCTCTAAAATACCCATGGTTGAAGAACTGTACACACACAACACACACACACACACACACACACACACACACACACACACTCAACCAGCAGCCATGGAGCTGATACTAAGTCCTGGAGACCCATGTGGGTAGAGGAAAAGGGCACCCATAGGCCTTTCAGGACGGTGGCCTTTTGCAAGCAGGTCTCCAGGACTTGCTCCTGCGGCCCCTGGGTGGCTATGAACTGACTGTCCCAACCACCTTGATTAGTAGTCCACAGCATATCCATCTGTACCTCCCATTATAAAATCACATCCCATATAATAATAATTTAACAATATCACCTTTTTCATGCTCACAAGCCATAAATCTGTTTATGTCTTTAAATCCCTCACATACATACTCAATACCTATGTGTTTTTCTTTAAAAGAAGTCTGTGCGTCTCTAACAGTCTAGAGGTGCTTGCTATGGAGGACAAATAAACGAGAACAGAGCAAGTTAGAGACAAAATGTCTAAAAGAAATCCTTCCCGCACTCATGCTCCATGGATGAAAATACATCCACTATGAACCAAACCAAACCAAACGCACTGCTAGGGAGCTGGTTCTGACTCACAGCGATCCCACAGGACAAGGTGCAAGGGCTGGTGCTTTCAAACCGCTCACCTTGTGGTTAGCAGCCTAACGCACAAACACCGAGCCACCAAAAAACCCATGGCCATGGAGTTGAGTCCGACTCACAGCGACCCAATCAAGAGTTTCCAACACTGTACTTTTTCATGGGAGCAGACAGTCTAGTCTTTCTCCTGGGAACAGCTGGTGGGTTTGAACCACTGACCTGGGAGTTAAAGCAGTCCAACACCCATTCACAGTGCCACCAGGTGTCTCTAAGAATGGTCTGAAGTACAGATCCCAATATATGACGGAATCTTTACAAGGGATGTGGGAGCAAGGAGCAGGGAAAACATTGTATTTAAGATCATATAATAAACCCTGGAAAGACTTTCAAAATCATTAAGAAATAAATATGATTTGTTAAATATTGTGTGGTTAAATATAACATTTTCACAAAAGTATAAACCTCATGAAAAACATACTGTTCTATCATTAAGTACATTCAGCCCTGCAGAACATTTTCTTAATAAGCTGGAGTCCTGTGACTTTGCACATTGCAGCCACCAGGTGGGATCTCAACTAGTTCAAGAATCACCACCAAAAAAACCACTGTCATCATGTCAGCCTATACAGTGGCAGACAGCCTCACATGCCTTCCTCGGAGTTAGCAGTCCAAAGCCTAGCTCACAGCTGCCCCAGGACTCCTTCAAGACACCAGTAATAGCCCAGTGCTACCTAGAAAAAATGTCTTTCTCTCATTGGGCCATAGCTAAACTCAATCAAGCCTGACCCACTGCTTTCTGGTTGGTTCTGACTCATAAGGACCCTGGAAAGGACAGAGTGGACGGCCTCATATGGTTTCCAAGGCTGTGATCTATACAAAAGCAGATTGCCACATTTTCGTCCACAGAGAAGCTGGTGGGTTTGAACCACCAACCTTTCAGTTAGTGGCCAAGCACTTAACCACACTGCACCATCGACGCTTCTTTACTGGATCAAAGGCTCTTAGTTTGATGAAATCAAAAACTTACAACTGCTGATGACACCGAATGTGAAGGGCAGCCAAGCAGGGGTTAAGATAATATTAGAATCTAAGAGCACTTTCACCTGCTAACCAAACCCACTGCCTTAAAGTTGACTCCCAGGCACAGAGGCCCTCCAGGACTGAGTAGAACAGCCCCAGATGGTTTCCGAGGATGAAGATCTTTGTGGAGGCAGATTGCCGGATCTTTCTCCTGTGGAGTGACTGGTGGGTTTGAACCACGGACCTTCTGGTCTGTTAGCAGCCAGTCCTTGGCAGCCCACAGTGAAAGATCAATATGATTTCTGAAGGGGAAACAAGCTCTGTACGTCAAGTAGAAAAACAAATGAAGAGTTTACGGAAATTGCCATGTGTGTACCACAATAACCCTGCCTCGTACAATAAACACGATTATTTTTTATGAAGGCTGTTGCTTCGTAGCAAATAGTCGTTAGACCTGGCTCCAGGAGAAAAAATGGCTTGGGTGGAAAAGACTTAAGGCAGTTTCAGTAAAATTCAAAAGAGTGGAAAGAGCAGCCACCAAGGATAAGTCAACTCATTTTAGGAACTTTTGTTTACTACAGGGAAGGGTAGTCTATTCACACAGTAGGTCAGGTTGTCAAGGTAAAATGCTTAGCCGGTTTCAGAGAGAGAATTCAGGTGGAAACAACTTTATAAAGGTCCTTTCCTTAAAAAGTGAATGCGCCAGAAGAAAAGTCCGGTATTTAGTTTTAAACTGTAAGCAGTAAATTGGCCCCTTGGCTGGATCAAGGGTAGATGGCACAGGCCCCCAGGTCGGTAAGCCCCTGTTCATCGTACGCTACAACAGCCTCACCCACAGCCAAGCCCGATGGAGGCCCCAGATCCAGGCAGTGCAAGTTCCACTTCGTTAACATCCCTCTCTAAGTGGTCTAACACCTCGGACTCCCGGCTCACTCCCAGGAACTTCAGAGTCATCGACAAGAGGAGGAGAAGCAAGCCCCAGAGCAGACAGACCACTGTGCAATCACCCAAGAGAAACAGAAAACACTGACGTCCATTTACAGCCACGTGTTTCTGTTTCTGGGATTAATCTTTCTAAGGGAACAATCTCCTTAATCTTTTCAACAGTACAAACAACTTGTTCTACAACTCAGAGGAAGCTCGTGTAAAATGCAATAGCTCTGCCTGGTTCGGACTGGAGCTGGGAGGAAATGCAAATCCTGCGAGGTCAGCTCTACCTGCCCGGTACAGACTATCAGCTCTGCTTCTGCAGGCCACGCGGCCCATTTCTTTTGATTTCTGTTTCACTTCGTTTCCTCTGATGGCAGACCCCACACCTAACAAGCGCAGTAGATCCCATGAACAGCAAAGACTTTCCTCGGGCTCCCTCGGCTCCCCCACCCTCCACACACTCCCCTTCCTCTGTGACTCACACTGTCTTCCACTCCCAGGCTGGAAACCTGGGGACCAGAGCAGGGTGCCCTCACGACGAGAAGCACCTTTCCGGTGTCCTCATCCAGCCTCTCTCCAGCCACAAACAAAGCTTTGCCACGATTCAAACCAGGTCAGTAGCTCCTCCGCAGAGGCTGGCCAACATACCTTTTGGAAGGATCTTTCTGAAGACAGAGCGAAAGTAATTTTCTAAAGGACTTGCCGTACTTCTTCATCATGTCCTTATCCTCTATTCCGGTTTCTAAGGTGGGGGGGTCGTTCTGCAACGTCAGCATTAACACCTGCGGCACAAACGGACACAGAGGCAGAGGCTGAGTGGACCGGCCAGTGCATTTTATTCTTTTATCAAGATGTCAAAGGACATCCTTGGTGAAGGACATAAACATCCCCGCCCCACGATTTTCATTTCCCAGAAACGGGGTTCTGAACAGTATTTGCTTCCCTTTGCAGGTGTGTTTGTGGACCCCGTTAACTGTGTATATTATCGTCAGTGTTATTCCGTTGACAGTTACAAAATCTGCCCTGTGGATAACGAGGAAGTATCCCAAAGGGGCTGGAGAGAGCTTCCTGGGAACGGGCTCCGGGAGCATACGGCATGCCGGCAGTCTGCCTGGGAAAGAGCCGAGCAGCCGGGTGCGCTCACGTCTGCAAATCCTTCAGAAGGAAGGAACGGCTGGACTCCAGGCTGTCACACATCCCAACCCTAAAAATAAGTGCTCTGCATCCCAGGGGGCAGGCAGGCTTTCCTTCTCCTGCTCTTTTCTTTCGTTCTTCAAATTGGTAAAAAGAAAAACCCAAACATACAGGATATTGCTTAAATGGCGGCAGCAAAACACTGATGGCTGATTGTCAGAATACAACAGGGTCATTACAGGCCATCATCAGATCGAAGGCCCTGCTTCTGCCCAGGAAGGGCAAGACAGAATCAGAATACAATTTCAAATCCAAAGAAATTCCGGTCTCGCACAGAAACAAAGTATTGGCTTAAAAAACAAAGTGTGTGTGTGTGTGTGTGTGTGTGTGTGTGTGTGTGTGTGTGTGTGTAATTGTTAACCAACTATTAAGCAGGGGTTAAGTAAATCTCATCAAAAGCATAAATCAGCCCCAATTTATGCAAATCCATTGCGTGCCAAGGAGTGCTTCAAACACCTCCAGAGGACAGGACTAGCTGGAGGATGAAGGTGACAGCTGATTGTTTCTGGGGGCCGCAGCCAACAGAAGAGGCGGGAGCACGGTGAACTCTGGGAGCAAAGTCCCCAGGGACTGTCATCAATCAGGAGGGATCAGCAAGCGTGTTGGTGTGACCACACCGATGACCAGGTGGGAAACGCTGGGCAGTGGGGAACGAAAGAAAACAAGGGCTAGGCAAGAGATGCCAGAAAAACACGACAAGGAAGGAAAGGCTCTTTCTAGTCTAAAATGTCACTGCAATGGTTTGCACCCTCCACGCCTCAGCTTTCTCTTTTGCCCTAACAACATCCTCAGGGAGCGATGGATGGAGAGACTGTACTCAGGTGTGCTCAATGATACAGACTTCCCACCCTTGAGAGATCTATTGCACGAACATCTTAATGGGGATTCCAGCGGTTGATGGACTTATCCCCCTCTTTATGTAGATTTCTCCTTCCAAACGTAGTCCTTTTTCCCAAACAGTGAAACGAACCTTTTCATCCTCAGTGGTTTGTATTGTTTTGTTCTGTTTTTATTTTCTTTCATCTGCCTACCTACATAAAATAACGGCCTACGGAAAAGATGAAGCCATGGCAGTTGATACTCATCTGTGAAATCTATTTACAATTTCTACCTGGAGAGGCTATTGTTGTTGCTGTTAGGTGTCATCGAGTCTGTTCCAACCCACAGTGACCTTATGTACATCAGACGAAACACTGCCCAGCCCTGCGATCCCATCTTCAACCCAAAATCCAGTTGGGTCCATCGGCCCCCATACCAGTGACGTAAAACCAGAAGAAATAATGATGCAAACTGGCTATAAAGAATTAACAAAGCTGAACATGGTGGGACAAGAGGAAAGTAAAAGGAAATAGAGGAAAGAACTAGGAGGCAAAGGGCATTTATAGGTCTAAATACAGGCATGTACATATGTAAATATCTTTATATATGATGATGGAGAAATAGATTTATGTGCATATATTTATAGGTTTAGTATTAAGGTCGCAGAAGGACATTGGGCCTCCACTCACATACTCCCTCAACGCAAGAAAACTTTGTTCTATAAACCTGGCATTCCATGATGCTCACCTTCCCAACACAATCTTTGAAGACAAAGTGGGTGTATAAGCAAATGTGGTGAAGAAAGTTGATGGTGCCCCACTGACAAAAGATACTGTCAGGGGTCTTAAAGGCTTGAATATAAACAAGCGGCCATCTAGCTCAAAAGCAACAAAATCCACATGGAAGAAGCACTCCAGCCTGTGTGATCATGAGGTGTTGAAAGGATCAGGTATCAGGCATCAAAGACCCAGAACTAAAAAATCATATCATTGTGAATGAGGGGGAGTGCGGAGTAGAAACCCAAAGCCCATTTGTAGGCAACTGTACATCCCCTTACAGAAGGGTTGCGGGGAGGAGACAAGCCAGTCAGGGTGCAGTATAGCACCGATGAAACATACAACTTTCCTCTAGTTCTTTAATGCTTCCTCCCCCCCTACTATCATGATCCCAATTCTACCTTACAAATCCGGTTAGACCAGAGCATGTACATGGGTACAGGTAAGAGCTGGAAACACAAGGAATCCAGGACAGATAAACCCCTCAGGACCAATATTGAGAGTAGCCATACCAGGAGGGTAAGGGGAAGGTGGGGGTAGAAATGGGAAACCAATCACAATGATCTACAAATAACCCCCTCCCATGGGGATGGACAACAGAAAAGTGGGTAAAGGGAGATATCGGTCGATATAAGACATGAAAAAATAATAATAATTTTTAAATTATCAAGGGTTTATGAGGGAGGGAGGATGGGGAGTGGTGGGGGGAAATGAGAAGCTGATACCAAGGGCTCAAGCAGAAAGAAAATGTTTTGAAAATGATGATGGCAACATATGTACAAATATTCTTGATACAACTGATGTAATGGAATGTTATAGGTTAAGACCTGTAAGAACCCCCAATAAAATGATTAAAAATAAAAAAAGAATAACAAAGACCTGAAAGTAGTATTTTATTTCCTAAACAAAACACTGTGCTTCACTTGTATCAATGAGTCCCCAACATGATACTGTAAGAGCAGAGCTGGCATATTAAAGATAGACAGACAGACAAATAAATAAGGCCTGACATTTTGGGAAATCCCTGGACCACAAGGATATTGCTGCAGTCTATTTTTAGATTTCCGCAGGGGCGTGGCTCGTATTCAGCTATCAAGAGTCACGGCCAGCGCATGTCACAGCCATCCCCCTCCATCAACCCATCTGATCACATTCTGTCCTTAGCCCTGTGCTATGAATGTCAATCAGCTTGAAAGCCAGAATGTGTCTCTTCCGCCTTTGTTCTAGTCTGTGCACAGAGAGAGATCAGGCAGTACCTAGCACGGCTGTGCCTCCCCACTCATTCTTCTCAGGTCTCAGAGAAAAAAGGCTGGGTTTAAGAGTACAAGGAACTATATGTGACCTCCTCCCTGGGGGACGGACAACAGAAAAGTGGGTGAAGGGAGACGTCGGACAGGGCAAGATATGACAAAATGACAATGTATAAATTATCAAGGGCTCATGAGGGAATGGGGAGCAGGGAGGGAAGGGAAAAATGAGGACCTAATGCCTGGGGCTTAAGTGGAGAGGAAATGTTTTTAGAATGATGAGGGCAATAAATGTACAAATGCGCTTTACACAACTTATGTATGTCTGGATTGTGATAAGAGTTGTATGAGCCCCTAATAAAATGATTAGGGGAAGAAAAAAAAAAAAGAGTACCAGGGGTCCACATGGAAGAAGCACACCAACCTGTGTGATCATGAGGTGTTGATGGAATAAGGTATCAGACGTCAAAGACCCAGAACAAAAAATCATACCTATGTGAATGAGGATAAGGGCAGAGTGGAGACCCAAAGCCCATCTGTAGACAATTGGACATCCCCTCCAGAAGGGAGACAAGGAAGAGATGAGCCAGGCAGGGTGCAGGACAGCACCGATGAAACATGCAACTTTCCTGTAGGTCTTTAATTAGCTGACACCAAGGGCTCAAGTATAAAGAAATGTTTTGAAAATGATGATGGCAACATATGTACAAATGTGATTGACACAATGGATGGATGGATGGATGGATTGTGATAAGAGCTGTTATGAGCCACCAATATAGTGATTTTTCAAAAATCGATCACACAGGAGTAAATGAATGGGGAGGAAGAGAGAGTGGAGCACATCCTGGCACACCAGGCCTGGAGGGCGATATTGCCACTCAGAACAGCCAATGCACAGAGACGACCATATGGCTGATCCTACTATGACACATGATGTCCCTCACTGACCCATGGCCCTACAGGGGACAAAACTGGCCAGGTCTGACCAGTGACACTGAGACAAAACACTAAAGGCGTGAGGCAGAGCAACAGGTGTTGGGGGTGAGGGGGAGCAGAGCAGAGGGCTCCCGAGGGAGTACAAAGGATAGACTTTGGGGCCAGGGCATGGCACCCCATCGGACTTGACTGGAGGACACGCCTAGAGGTCAAAAAGCAGACCTTGATCTATTTACAGGTTTTTCTTTCTTTTTAAAATTTTTAAATTATTTTAAATTAATTTATTCTTTTCTGGGTCATTGGTTTTCTTTTTTGTTGTTATCGTTGTGTTCTCTTTTGTCGCTTTGTCTTGCTATGTCTTGTTTTTTTGTGTGCATATTATTATCTCTGCAGAACTATCTAGATAAGATAGGCTGGATAAACAGTCTGGAGGAGAAAACAACTGGATTGATGGTTCCGGGGAGACATAGGAGAGCAGGAGGTGGGAGAAAGGGGTTGGTGCTGACCATCCCAGGGACAAGGGAGCAACAAATGATCCAAAATTAGTGGCAAGGAGGGTGTGAGAGGCCTGGTAGGGATTCGGGCAATGTAACCGAGATAAATTACTGAAACCCAAATGAAGGCTGAGCATTAGAGTGGGACAAGAGGAAAGTAGAAGGAAGTAGAGGAAAGAACTAGGAGACAAAGGACATTTATAGAGGTCTAAATACAGGCAGGTACATATATAAATATATTTATATAGGATGGTGGGGAAATAGATCTACGTGCATATATTTATAGGTTTAGTATTAAGGCAGCAGATGGACTTTGGACCTCCACTCAAGTACTTCCTCAATGCAAGA